CCCCCCCCCCCCCCCTCCTTCACATGCATGCCATCGGGTTCATTCCACGGAGCCGCTTTGCTTCATTCGTTCGGTAAAGAAATGCATGGCTTTGCGGAGGAGGATGTGTGTACTACAGAATCTCGTCAACTTGCAGCAGTGGGTTTTGAACCTGTTCTGCAACGGACTCTGTAGCTCTTGCCGTGCAACGACAGATTGGTAGCTCTCCTTTACGCCCGGGGTGTGGCAATTCCCGCCAGCAGTAGGCAGCAGCGGCAGCGGCAGCGTCGGTAGATAAGTGGCAAGATTCGAGTAAGGTTTTTATTGATTGCCTTCGGGCAGATGTACTTATTCGTAAAAATACTTGGGAGTGGGAAAGAAGAGAATAAAAGACGTGTTTTTTGTTTGTGTGCGGTCTTGTTTGTCACCCCCTCGATGTTCCGAGCGACTTGGTCAGCCCAATTTCGTGAGACGGGCATCTGGGGGGGGGGGAGGGGGTGACAGGAGTCACAGAGGAGCGCTTTAAAGTTGGCCCCATGTACTCTTTTATTTTTCCGTAGAAAAATGATCCGGGGGAGGGTAGGGGTTCTTCATCACTTTATTTTGGTAAACACCCATGAACAGGGAGGCCCCTAGGGAGGCAGGGGGGGGGGAGGGGGGGGCGAAGCAGCGGCACGTGAAAGCCTTTTTGCCTGGATGGCATGCGTGGGCCGTGGCGATTTTTTGTCTTTGGTCTGGGCTTGGGCCTGGCCTGCCCCCCCCTCCCCCCTCCCTGGAGAGGATAGAGTGCACGGGGGTGGCGGCGTAGTATATTATAGTACCGACGTAACGGTGAAGTTGAACACTGGCTATGTGTGTCCGACGTCTTGCGTGTCTGTCGGGTAGTGCTTGATATTTTTCGATTTTTCGATCGTGATGTGCTCGGATGGGATGGTTGGGCGGTGTTGCTTCGGGTGGCCCACGGTGGGCATTTGTGCCGTGTGGTGCACGTAGACAACGAGTACCTTCCCCCTGCCATGTGCCTTTAACCCAGAACCAGTGTTTCGGACAGAAATCGGGGGAACACACAGTAAAATTCCTGTTGTACTTAGTAACATTGTTTCCATCGAGCAGGCAGCCGCCTAACCAGGCGGTGCCAGTAGCGTTTTGTCCTTTCCCCCGTGTATTTTTTCTTTCTTTAACCCGCCCTAACCAATCAGCTTTGAAGCTATGTAGCGCAGGGGTGAAAGTTCTCCCTACGTGTGGCTTTCCTTTTTTGTCCTTCTGAAAGGGTGCCGGCTGGGTTCCTCCGGTTTGTCGGTCTGCAGAAAGTAGATGCGGGGAAATGAGACGGTTGGGCTTTCGGTATCTGCTCCGACCGCCGCCGCCACACATACCCAGATCGGTTTTTTTTTTTGTTTTTTTTTTTGTGCTGGCTCATTCACGGGGGGGAGGTAGTTCCAGGCACGTTCTGATTTCTGCGGATGGTGGCGAAGGGGGGGTGGATGGATGCAGAGATGGATACTGGCAAACGGTAGTCGGGAGAAACAGTTGCGGGGGGCGCCCTTAAGGTCCGGCCTTGGTGTGTGTTCGTGGCAGACCCAACCGAGTCCCATCCATCCACCCTGCCTTGCTGCTTTGAGGCCAGGCCATCCTGTGGAACCAATCGGCAGATTGAGCGATTACAATTTCTCAGTCTAGGACCAGGATTCCGTAAGGAACTACGCCAGAGGTGCAGAAAAACGCGTCACATGTGATGCCCGATTTTGAGGAATCCCCGTGGCAAATAGGCCGTAGCAGTTACTAGTGGGCGCGAGTGGTTGTTGCCCCGTGAAAGGGGTGAAGCGAGCGGAATTATCACACATACAGTAAGGCGCGGTTTTGAGGAGATGGTGGCGCCTAGAAACAACCAAGCTGCTTGTAGTTTTCTCTGTAGGGTCGGATTTTAAAAAGGACGTGCGCTCCACGGGTTGTTTTTGTAGTACAAGCTGCTGCCGTCCACCAAGAAACGTATATGTCCTGTCAAAGGTAGGCAGGTTGGCGTAATTTAAGGAGTGCTAGCGTAGCGCGACTGGCGGCGGATGTGTGTGTTTTCCTTCCATGTTTTTGTGATTGCCGTTTTCTCCAAAGTACGCCGAAACCGAATCCAAGCATCGACCAAGGTTCATACCACCCCAGCCAGCAAGAAAGCACACACACGGAGTATCACTAAGCAGTAATAGTGCAGCGGCGGTCGGTCGGGGGCGGGGGGGGAGGGGGGGGGGGCATGAAGTTTTTTTTTCCTTTTGTGGGCTTGTGTGCGTTATAGTTCGTCCGAATTGCGTGTGCTTGTACCGTGTTTTGTTTTAATATCCCTTTTTTTTCTTTTTGGGTGCATCCCCCGGCGCTTTCGCTGCGTTCGTTTTCGCGCGGCTTTATTTTGTGATGTGATGGGTCACAAAAAACGGAGGGTGAGAGGGAGGTGGTGTGTGGTGACAAGTTGCGTTTCCCTTTGTACCGTACGGCACCGTCCTAAAGATATTTAGACAGCAGAGGCACCTGCTCCCTGTAGCTCTTGTTCTCTTCTCTTCGACGATGTTAAACTTACGATAATATCAGTATGGGGGCAGACAACGCGCTACGCTACGTGCGTTCCTCTCAATCTTGAGGAAACCATCCCGTTCCTGGTGTCGCCTAAAAAATCTGGCTTGACCTTGCTGCCGAACGCTCGATGTTATGCGCGTGGGTCATTCATTCTTCATGCTGATAACCAAACAAGCAAAGCGGCGATGATTCCCCATCATCTCTGCTGCGTCGTTTAGCCATTCTCTTGATCCATGCCTTTATTGCAGGTGTACAACACTTCATGACACCATGGGAAGATGACTGACAGCAATGTATACACTCCACGCATACTCACTAATTCGTGTAGTTGCACGTTCGTTCGTGTAGTTGCACGTTTGTTGTTGTCGTTCAGCGATTGGACCTTCCCGTTGTGGTCCAGCCCAACACCAACGAACGATCGATTTTGTTTCCCACACAAGGCAACAAGTTTTTGCGATGGTCCACCTTCTTCGTGTACAAGTACAGCAGGCGGTAGGTGCTGCTTACCAGCAATGAATGGTGGTCTCCAGTTAAGAGGTGAGCGACCACTTTGCTTTCGCGTGATCGAAGGTATCGGCCGAAGCGAGTTGAAGGGGAACAAACCATGTCGAACTTTCAACATACATACAGGTGATGAGTCCGGAAGAGGATGCAAGTAATTTAGCCCACGCTCCGTGGTTTCTACAGACCTATTTTAACCCCCTGAAGGAAGAGATTTTCGCGAAGAGGGTCAATATGAACTGCATGCACTCTGTTGCCGGAGGCAGGCAATGCGCGTACTTGGCACCGGAGACCGGGAATTTCCCTCTCGCCCAAACTGAAGCGTGAGGATGGCAATCAAACGGGAAAACACGGGCCAGCGTAGATAAACAAACGGTAGCCCGGAGGAAGAAAGGCGCCAGAATCTACTCCCAAGACATGGACAACGAAACCTACGAGTCACCAACAACAAGAACACGACGACACATACAACCAGCAATGAAAAAATTCAAAAACAAAGCCGTCGATTACAGCAAAGCCGTAGTATACCTTGACGGTGGTGCTTCCACGCACGGCGTCAAATACAGCTAGCTGTAGGGGCACACTACTCTGGTCTTCGGCGACACGACAACTCCCCCCCCCACAAAAAAAACGCATGTCTAGCGCCAGCCCTGCCGAAGAAAAAGGCCTGAACCACAAGAACAAGGCGGGAGGCCGAGGGAACTTTGACAGCATCGCACTTTGTACCTGGCACGAAAGATGACGACCAAGTCTGGTAAAAATATTATTAAGCAGTTGGACACAATGAAAACAACGCTTTTAAATACTTGCGAAAAGGGTTCATAAACTGAAGTGATTAGACGTCAGCCAGACCCGCCAGGCGGATGCGAGGGGACAAGGCAACACGCTACGGCCCACAGACATGCAGACAAATAGACCGCTGCAGAAGAACAATATTCTCCCCCCCTCTCCCATAGAGTACAATTACTTGGAGGTCGTCGAGAGAGCAAAGCGATGCGAAAACCCCGAGCGCCCAACAAGTCAGCAGGACTCGAAAAGCATCACGCAGGCGACGGGGTGTGGCACTGCCACAAGAGGGAGGGACTAGAACGAGTTGCTGGTAGATCGCAAGCAGTGCACACAAGGAACAGAGTGTCATGAAAACAGCGGGATCGGTCAGTTGGTATGCCCGTGTCAGCCGGCGTCTTCGGGCAGGTATTTAATGCCTCGAGACTATGCCTGCGAGCGACGGATTCTGCGGGATCCCCCTCTACACCACCCGTGGAGTCCTGCCTGCTACCTCAACCCCCGTCCCGCCCTAGCGCTAGACGACGCCGATGACTGGTGGTGCCCGAGCAAGCCTCCCGAAGCGGACGGGTTTGAGAAGGTCATGATGTCCATCACCTCGTCTGGCTGGCTGTACACGAACACCTGTCCGCCAGGAACAAGGGCCGGTTGGCCGACGATCCATGATGGAACACAGGAAAAAAGCCCGAGGTCAGCCAACTCCTATCGGGTTCATGCACTCGTGTATACGTGTATA